CAGCACTGGGTTGGGATGCTTTCTTAATGTACACTTACCCTTTATGTAAAACTCTGTCTTACACATATGAGTTTCTGTGAATTCGTTTCTCTAGTTTACCCAGACTAACACAGAGAGAGACCCAATCTGTGGTCTGTGCTATGTCAAAGCCTGCAGTCACTCTTGGGGAAGTGGGAGAAAGACAGTGTGTCTGGCTGGGTTGTCTAGAAAAACAAAACCAGTGACACTCATCTATATAGAAGAAAGAACTTTATATCAAGGAGTAATTGTACAAGTATATGAAGAGAGTGTTCCAGCCCAGTCCAACTCCAGTCCGTAGATCTGATGCTAGTCAGAACCCTCTCAGATGCATGTCGTGCCAGTCCAAGGAAACAGAAAGGTGAAGCAGGAAGATCACAATGCTGGTGGGTCCAGAATCACTTGGATTCAATGCCAATGGGAACATGGCAGGGCACCAACAGCTCCCAGGGTCATCAGCCCACAAGGAGCCACTGCTGGAGACAGACACAGAATATAAGCACGTAGGAAAGTGGCAGATGAGAGGGAGAGTGAAAGGTTCCCAGTGTCTCTCTTATAAAAAAAGACCACACCCTCAAGGAGGCATGAGCAGGCTGTGACCTGCACTTTCACACAGGTTCAAGTTGACATAAAATCTAACCACCACAGATGGGTCCATACAAATATGCAGGTGGTACCATTCTTAGGGGAGGGTGTGTGTGTAGGTAGGGCACAAGGTTTATCTGAGCTTGACTAAGATATTCTAGATTTTCCACAAAAATAAAATCATATATAATATATGGGTTTTTTTTTCCTTTTAGCTGTTGTTGAAAGAACTCATATTCCTTATTTATCAACTAACTCATCCAACATTTTGAATTTATGACTGTTATGAATTTATGACTATTTATGTGAGTCTGGGTTGACTAGAGAAACAAATCCATAGACATTCACTCACGTACGTATAAGAAAGTGCTTTGTATCAAAGACTAATTATATATTAAGGAAACAGCAGAGCCCAGTCCAGATCAAGTCCATAAGTCTGATATTATCCCATATGTCTGATACCAGTCCATAAATTCCTCCTTAGACTCAGGCAGCACATGCAGTGATGTGAATACAGGAAGATCACAGGTCAGTGGGTGGAAAGTCTTGTGGTCTCAGTGGTGGTGGAAGCATCTCAGCGCTGGCAGGGGTTTCCACATGGCTCCTCCACATGGCTCCTCCTCCATGGCATAGCTCCTTGTGACTTGTCAACAGGAATGTGTAGCAGCGAGAGAGTGTTTCCCGCCTCCAGCGAGGAAGAGAAGAGTTCCCAGAATCCTCAAGAGAAGGCCATGCCAACACAGAGGCATCATTGTCTATGACCTGATTGACAGGCTAGACTCCACCCCTTTGCTCAAGTTAACAGGAGATTATGTAACTTCCACAATGACAATAATAAGATTCTATTATCCAAGTAGTTTACACCTTAACAACATGCATCTGATAGTAACTGACACTGAGGTGTGAGGCAAGAGTGCTGCTGGTTTTCATGGTTAAGAACATACATCCAACTGGCTGGATCATGACTCAGAGTGCTTTGACAGTTGTGTGATGATAAAATGTGACCATGATGTAATGAGGCCATCTGGCTGTAGTCATGTAGTCATGTAGTCATCCTCCGTTTTGAGATGTGATGTGGTCATCCTCCAAGTTTCTATAATGCCAGTGTTCTCATAGCAATTTGGTCATTGGAATCTAACTGTGTTGTTAAATAGGGAATAAATGAATATACTGTACTCGGTATCACATCGGAGCTCCTGAAAACACAGGGAAGGGATGAGTCAATGAGGGTGCAGTAAAGCACCAATGAAACACAATATTCCTCTGGTTCTTTGAGGCTTCCTCACCCCCCACTATCATGACCCCAGTGCTGCCTTTATTGCGGGTTAGACCAGAGCACGTACACAGGTACATAAGAGCTCACAACACATGGAATCCAGGAACAGGAATGGGAGTAGTGATAC